GGCTGTCCTCTGTGCTCTGCGTGACGGGGCGATGTCTGGGTAGCTCAGCGTCGGGCCGCACAGGATGGGCGGCAGGGCTTCAGTGCTCCGCGTGAGCGGAGGTGCTGATCGCTTCCTTGCTAAACAGCACTGTTTGGTTTTTCAAATGTCATTTGCATTAGCATCTTATAATTGAATCAGTAGCACTTTACTGAAAAGGTTAAATTCTGCCTTTTAAAAATTAAATCAGCCGTTTAGCTGTCAACCACAGCTATGCCCTCCTGTTGCCTCAAGAAGAATGAAACATTGGCATATTGACATATAAATCGTATTGCTGGAGAATGCATTAACTCTCTTATTTATGACTGCATTGTGCCGCAAAGTGCTGCAGCTTGTAATTGAGGGCTCTCTGCTGAATTCATTGCATGTAAAATCTGTGCAAATTATTAGCACAGCACATTTCCATGATGAAAGTATTTCCTACAGTATAAAGACTCCCTAACTGTCGTACATTACTCTAATGCAAAATTTTATGAAAATTTAAATACAAGCACAACAAGATTTTTATGCATAGAGATTATTTTTAGTTAGACTGGTTGATATAGTTGGGAAAAGCAATCAAATTATCTGGGTTCAGGGACTCTTTTTAGGTGACCGATGAAAGCTTTATTTGCTGCTGCTCACAGAGAAATGTGCAGCGTTACACTCACAGAGTGATCTTTGCCTTGCCATCAGTGACATAACCAAATAATTAAAATTAAAGCTATAATGAAGCATTCATAGGAACTGTTGGTTTCAGGGGATAATTCTTACTAATGTGATGTTCCATTAAGAGTCATCCTAAGGTAATGTTAATATTTTGATGATTTGCAGCAAGCCAATAAATAAACATTTTCTTTCGTCAAAAGTTGGCAGTTTTAGATGACTCCTGCAGTCAGAGTGTTCGGCAAAACAAAAATTTTTTAAAAATTCCCCTCTCCTATTCTCTCTTCGGTAAAAAATGTGCCAGAATATTGCAGATAGCATGGAATGGTGCTTTAACTATTAGCTGTGTGTCTGAGAAGTCCATTTGTCTTGTTAAGGCTGCCATACTACACTACCCTTTCTGTAACCCTGGAAACAACTTCAAATACTGTGATCTTTGAAAAGTGTGAAATATAACTTGCCCTTAAGATGTTATGAGTGTTTTTTGAGACTCCCTGTACAAGGGAAGAAAAATTTTTTCCCTCTAAAGAGGGCATAAGCAATGATGGATGTGCATTTCTTTGTGAGAAAGCTGATCCTCACCTGTTGTAGGTGAGGTGAAAACCTGTGGTAGCAGCACTGACAAGTGCCCTCTCTCTTTAAGTGCCCGTGGAGTTCAGGAATCCTTTAGGTGCTGCAGGGGAGGATTTTCAGGAGGCAATAAATAAATTTTGATCCCTCTGGTTAATACAGTTAAGGTCAAAGAGATTCTGTCTGGAGCTATTTAAAATACTCTTAACACACAGACATACTGCTGCCCGTAGTGCTAAGTGTCTTATCTCGCTGCGGAGTGCATACAACCCTTATGAAACTATTCTTAAGTATTCTGGTTACTATATTTAGCTCTGGCTCATAACAAGACAAAAAACACTTAGCTAAATGTAGTCCTGAAGTGCTTAATCCGGTTAAGAATATTCTTGTCCTTAGGTGTCTTCTACTCAGACGTTTTGCAGCTCGCCATCCTGCTGCATCATGCAAAAACTTCTCTGTGCGTTTGGGCCTGTGAATGCTTTTATAGCCATGTATTCTGTTAGAGCCTCGAAGTCTGGTGTTGACTGAGGACATCTCTCATGTTCACTGGGGGTGTCCCACTGGGGCTGACCTGGGAAGCCTCATTCCTCTGCCCCTCGCAGCTCACATCACCATACGGTGCGGGATGCGATAGCTGCAGCTAGAGATGAGAATCTGGGCTTTGTTTCCCAATGTAGACTCAGCGAGCGTTAGCTGGACTGTTGGCTCTCTCAGTGACCAAACAGCTTCCCTCAACTTACTGCTGTTCAAGCTGGCTGGGAGAGCAGCCGCACATGCAAGGCAGAAAACCTGTCAGACTTCCCGGGAGTTTTCGGCTGTTAGACCACCGACAGGCGAGGCAGTGTGAAGGTTTCTGCTCAAAGCTCGGGCAGAATCCTTTTGTTTGGCTGATTTTTTGTATACTTAAGCCCGTATAGAAAAAATATTTCCTGAAAATTTGTGGTAGATGTGTTTGCATATTCACAAGCATTTTTTAGAATTTAATCCATTGCTTTAAAAAGAATTTTCTGTATACCTACATGTCTCCAAACCTATTACGAGTTAGCAAAACTTCCGTATGGGTCGTTCTTCTAGAGGAGAAATAACTCATCGTTTGGATAAAACAGCACTGGCCGATGAGCAGCAGTGACCAAGATAAGCACCTCATTTCTGTGATAGCTCAGTAGGGTGACAAATAAGATCACACGCTCCTTTTGAACTGGGATGAAACCTTGCCACTTGGCCAGCGTATGACTTTGAGAACAGAAGCATAGCAGATCCACCATGTTTAAACTTGTTGCGTAGGTGTTGTTTTCAGTTGCAGCTTCACTGGGGATGTCGGGAGTTGTGTGAAATTTTCTCTGGAAGTTCATATTCCAAACTGAAAATGATTGCTTCATCCCAACTGCATTTTTTTACTGAACCATGTACTGCTGAAACACATTAGATATTTTATATGCTACTTCTGTTGTGTCAGGAGGTTCAGGTAACGTCTTGCAGGCACCTTCCATATTAGATGTACAATCACCCTATTGCACTTTATCTGAGCCAATTCATTTGAGCAAACGGAGGGATATAATTCCATGTAGCTGCAGTGAGCAGGGGTTTGGCCCACTGTCTCATGTTACTCACATGAACCTCCCCTCAAAGCACTCTCACCTGGTCACTGCTCAGCATCTGTGCTGCTCAGGGTGTTTAGCAGTGGCCCCATGTTGTCAGCCCCTGCGCTGTGCCAGCTGCCCTTTCCAGCATGCGTGCCTGATGTGTGTTTCTTGCAGTGGTTTTTCGTGCCTGATATGTGTCTCTTGCAGTGGTTCTTCAGCCACCTTCTTGTGTTTCCTTCAATCTCACAATCTACAGTCGATCCTCAGTGGCCCCAAGCTAGTAGGGTCATTCTTCCACCCTGCTGGGCCACATGGCTTTTTGGACACGAGAGGTCAAGTTGACCTTCCCAGGCTGCTTCTGTGGCAGGAGGTGGTGCACACAGAGCCGGGAGCCCCAGAACATGGTCCAGCTCCTGTTCCAGGAGGCTTTGCTGAGCTTTCACCAGTTCTGCTTCAGCATGTTTCTAATTTATGGTGGTAGATGTTTTCAGCTTGAAGTGATTGCTGCTCTCTAGGCTATGTCTTGCCTGCAGCTGTGTTTTAACTGGATTTGCTTTTCCTTCCAGGATTAATTTTTCTCCATCTCTGTTTACATGGTGATAAGAAGTGCTAATCCCACACCGTCAGTCTGGACTGATGAATCTGAGGAATAGAACAGGTAACTTCTAATTTGGCTTGTAGCTTTCAGTGACTCAGGCAGTGAGAACCACTCCCTGCCCATGGAGTGCATTCATATTTTGGGACAAAAGAAATCATACAGTTTCTTCTGCCCAGGTCATCTTCAGGGAGAGAGATCCTTGCCCTGGAGCAGGAAAGGGAGGGTAAATTTTTGTATGTTTTACTGTGAGCAGCATCTTTGACTTCCTATCACTTATGGGTGATTTTATTTCGTGTTAACTTTCATAGCCACCAATTTGTTTGAGCTTGGAGTAGTCTCAGTGCAGGGAAGAACATTTGGATGTACCCATTGAAAAATACTCCTTGGGTGCTGGGTGGGGTGGGAGGGTTTTGCCAGTGAAAATGCTCACTAGAGGTGGAGGCAGATTGGTGCTGATGCCGGTTGCAGGTGCCGTCTCCTCCTTGAAGATGTCTGAGGGGGATGCAACCCAGCAGAGGTGACCTGGGCAAAGCAGCATGGAGTGATGGCAGCTGGCTTCCCTGCGTCTGCCTGGCTCCCCATCCCTCGGACTCAGCCCGTCGGAGTCATAGAAAGCAAGTCACTAGTGGAGGAGGAGTTACCCTCGTGTTGAATTTTCCATCATTACATGGGACCTGAGAGTACCACGTCCCTGCTGGGAGTTGTTGCCAACTGTTCTCCTCACCTGTGCTGCAGGAACAGTTAAGATACAGACAGCAGCCCACAGTGACTGTTCTGGTGCAGGGACATACAGAACCCAGGTCACATTCCCTTCTTTTCACTGGTTAGTGCCAGGTGAGGAAGTTTTAACTTGAAGTCTTGGGTATGAATCCCAGTGGTAGGACACAGATGATGGGGTGGAAGTCCACCAGCACAAGCAGCAGTCATTGGCTGCAGGGTGCTTTGGGTGAACCTGTCAATCATGTCATCACTCAGATGTCCTGATAATACCCTGCTGTTGCCTAATAGTAATCCTTTTGGGGATTAGCACAGTTACCTTCTTCCTCCTATGCCCTTCCACTAGGAAAGAAATCTCAGATGCTTTTCAAGCCAGCAGCCTGTTTGATTTCTCAGAACAGTACCGGGCGCAGTGCTGCCTGGTACAGACATGAGAGTCAAATCGGCTCACACATGTGCAGAAGAGATGCTGATTCCTGTGCAGATTTGCAGAGGAGATGCCGATTCCTGTGCAGAGTTGGGCGCTTCGGCTGGATTCCCCGTCCCGTGGCAGAGGGGAGTGCAAAGGCAGGCTGAGGGGCTGCTGGCTCTTAGCTCTTTACCTCTAAAGTCACACTTATTGTAGCTGTGTGCTTGAGTGTATAGCAATGGTTTCACTCCTCAAGCCTCAGCAGCTGACGGAACAAGCAAGAAACTATATAACAAGAGTGGAGTTCGGAGTCCAGGGGGTCAGAAAGTACAAACCAGTAAGCTCCATATTCTGACAATCCTCAACAAGATCAGGGAATATCTCTCAGTAAGTACTTCTGTCTTTTCCTTCCAGAGCCCTGTGTTGTGTAAACGAACTGATGGATGAAGATGAGAAGGACAGGGCAAAGAGGTATGAAGGGATGCACAGAGCACTGCGAGTCAAAGCTCTCTCGGGGGACAATTGTAAAAACCGTGTTGTCCAATGCTTAAAAAAGTACTGGGGCCCACTGATGTCAGAGGCAAACTCCCCATGCAGTTTACAGGCTGTATATAGCAGATCACAAAGAGCATAATTAAGTCATCATTTTCAGGCTTCTCATAGCCTGTTTAACTGCCCCTAAGGTGGATTGATGAGCTGAGTGATCCTTAAAGTAAGATGTCGTGCCCTCAGAATCTCGTGTTGTCCCATGGCATTATCTTTATTATCTTGGTGCAGGACTCCTGACCTGTGATTTTACTGACACCACGCAGTACTGCCTACGTGGGGTAGAGTTCCCCGTGAAACTTAGAGAGCAGTCCTGCATTAACACAGGTACGAGTTAGTTTCCCTTCAGAGAAGCATTTGGCTCAGTTCTAATTAGTCATCGTACAAGAGTGCCAAAACAGAGAAGGCTGTGAACGTAAATGCTGGATCTGAGAACCTCCAAATGCCAACCTGAATATGAATGGAAATGCTTTCTGCACACCACACTTGGTTTAGATCACCGGAAGCGTGTATCACCATGAATACACTTGTAAAAAAATTTAATTACTACTGGAAGGGGTTGTATGGAAATAGGGTTATCTCAGATACAACCACTGGAAAGAACATTGTGGAAGAAACTGAATGGATTTGCTTTCTCCTTTATTGTTTTTAATGGAGGGGAAAACCCTAAGAAAACATTCTTAAATTGTATTAGTGACAGCTGGAAGCTAGTCTGTGGCTTCCGCAGCCAGACTCTTAACATTCCTGGTTTCGTATATCATGGCAGCAGATTGTCAAAACCAGATACAAGAGCATGTGCTTGACTTCATTCTGCAGTTGAGTTGTCCCTGCACAGTATTGTCTCTCTCTAAGCTACTTTTGCAAGTACAAGTCAAGGAATAAGGAATGTGTCACATTTTGACCTTTATATGTGTGCTTACTAACTGCAAAACAGAAGTTCGTAAAAATGAGGTGGGCAAAACATGAGCATATAGATGCTAGGACTTCTCTTACTGGAGAAATTTCACCCATAACACCTTCAGCTCATTGTCACAGTTTTTGAAACAATGGGAACTGCTGCTGAAATATATAGAAGGATGTGGTCTCGCTCACATGAATGGGCATCGTTGGTTGTTACCTCCACGTCTTCCTTGCTGACGGTGAGGTCAGCCCTGCTGCAAGGCTGTAAGCACCAGCGAGGCACTTATGCCCGAGCCTAATTTTAAACAAATGAGCAGTCCCGGCAGAGTTCAGATTCTTTTATTTAAAGTGTTTTGCCGAGGCAGGGCCATTTGCCTCTCCCTGGGTCAAGCTGTAGGTCTTTCATTTTATTTAGTGGCATTTATATTTCTGTCACCCAGGGCGTCACGCAACAAATCTGAAAAGAAGAGGAGAGACCAGTTCAATGTCCTCATTAAAGAGCTTTGCACGATGCTGCAGGGCCATGGCCACCCTCTCAAGATGGACAAGTCCACAATACTGCAGAGGACCATCGACTTCTTACAGAAACAGAAAGGTACTGGAGGGCACTGGCCTGCTCCTGTTGAAGGTGTTGGGTCCCCATCTGCCCAGCAGCCAGTTTCCACTCAGAAAATGAAAACTGGTTTTCCAAGCTTCTAAGACCTCCAGAGAGGACATGAACCTAAGTGAAGGGCAGAATAAGGCCCAGCAGTTGGCCTCAGTCTAGGTTTGAATACAGTTAAACATAAATGTACTTGGAAAGATGCAGTGCTGTATGCTTCTTAATGTAGTGACATCGCTCCATTTCCCTCGCTGGCCACCACATCCCCTGGCATGCTTTGTACGCTCGCAGAGCATGAGGGAAGAAGAGCTGAGGAACAGTATGCCCTACAAAAGCCAGGGTAAAGGGGTTTTTGTGCCCTGTTCCCAGGTCTCCTGGGGTGGGAGATGGCTGGGTACAGCCTGTCCTGCTGCCCTGGCACTGCTGTGAGCCTTCCTGAAATGGCTCCAGAGTCGCAGGCACCCTCTGCTCATGGTGATGCTCAGCTACTCTGAAATCAGCCCATTGACCTTAATTTTTGAAGGATTTCTTCAGACCACCCAAAATGTCTCCACTTCCTTTGCTTAATTTCTAGTGCATTTGTGTCGTGATGGCGTGGAAAATGACTGGTGCATACAGGAAGGCTTTGTGTGGAGAACGATCTGAGGATGATTCCTGTGAAAGCCCCTTAAAAGAAATCTACAGTTACTTGAAAATGGAGAAAAAAAAAATCCAACCAGCATGAGTCATGTTGCTTTTTTCATGTTTTCTCTTTAAGAAATCACAGCACAGACAGAAGCCTGTGAGATTAGACAAGACTGGAAGCCTTCATTTCTTAGCAACGAGGAGTTCACCCAGTTGATGTTAGAGGTAAGAAGAAATTAAAGCTGCATAGATTAGTGAGGAGTAATCAGTTCAGTGGAGTAGTTCAGAGATATAGAGTTCCTTTTCACCTGTAGGTCCCAACGTTAATGTTAATGATTTCTACTCTACTGGCGCATATAATACAGACCTGACAGAGACCAATGTTGTGCCAAATGCTTTGCAGACACAGAATTGAAAATATGATTTCTTCCCCTTGAAGACAAACAGCTTTTCATTTAGGAATGAAGACCAATGTGGCCCAGACTTGGCCTGATGAGGAAGGAAAAAGGGAATTGCCCTCCTCAGAAGAGCCGCTAGAGCTAGCAGTTTTAGCAAAAACTTGAAAGGACCTGGAAAAAAGCGGAGCAGCTCTCTTGCTCCCACATCCCATTAGCCAGGCAGCATTTGCTTTGCTGCCTTTGCTGCTGCTAGCCGTGCCGTGTTGTTACTTGTGATGTGGATGCTGTATCTTTTCCTTGGGTTGCCTTTAAGTGCATTCAGGAGAACAGCTCTGATACTCTCACCTCTGAAACACTTAGCTGATCTAGAAACATCCCGTGAGCCTACGTTTTTCCTTTCTTGAGGATGCAGCTTTGGGTTTGTGCTGCGTGCTCCTCTGGCGAGGACGTCTCCTGCCCTGCGTGGGCAGCTGCTACTCTTTGCCCCACCAAAATAAGGGTGTATGCTGGGCTGAGCTGGGAGGTGCTGCAGTGTCTTAGCTATTCCTTTTCGTCAGGATGTCGTGACTCACCTCCCTGGAAAAGTCTGTTCATTCTTTCTGGGAATTTCTCTCACCAAACAGGCTGGTTTGTTCCAGCTGAATCAAAACAAATTCCCCCTTAGAAGCGGTGTGGGGAGAGAGCATGCTAATAATTGTTGGCTTGCTGGGCTATGTCAGACCGGTGAGCGTTTTTTACTGAAAATTAGTGCTTTTTGCCAGAAAGGGCTTATTTTCAGCAAAGGCGGAGTACGGCAGTGAGGTGGGGAAGGTCGTGAATGCTACATCTTTGGCTCCCTGTAGCTAAGCTGCAGAACAGCCTAACAGTGTCTTTAGAAGAGCTGGCTTTGTGCACGGTGCTGACCAGAGATTAAACCTCCCAGATCTCGGTAGTTGTTAGAGAAGACTAGGGACAGACACGGGGTCAATGGTACGAGAAGATGTGAAGAATAGGAAGAACACCCACAGAGGAAAGCACATGCAGCAATTTAAAAGGGACAGAGAACTTGGACTCTGGACAGAAACCACTGTGAATAAGAATGGGGAAAGGAAACAAACTTTAAACTTGCTGCGTCACTAGCCTAACAAATGAGTGCTCTAAGCAAAATCAGTAAGGCTTTAGATCTTGTCCATATTGTCCATAAATTGCTAAAGATACAGCATTGTATAATTTTTCTGTCCCTGATTATCCATCCTGCTGGGTTTGCAGTGATGATATCTAACATCTCCTTACGCACCAAATTGGTTAACGATTGTGTAATTCAGAACACATAATGAAGTGACTGAAGTCACTAGGGTTGTGTGGGTGTAGAAATTCTAACCACCACCATCTTGCTTCATGTTAAATAAATACTCACTGGGTGAAAAATACAAGTCAATTTAATATTAATGAGCGAATAAGAATATGAGAAGAATGTTGAATAGACAGCATGTGTAATATTTGGTTTTTTGCATTGAGCTATCATATCCATAATTGATTTATGTTAGTTTTAGGCTGTTAGAAGCATCACCAAAGAACAAATTAGCCTATTATATTTTAAGTTGTTCCCTTGCATAATTCTTTTTATTTTTTCTTTTTTTGCCTGCCTGTTATCATTAGGCACTAGATGGCTTTCTCATTGCTCTTACCACTGATGGGATTATTATTTATGTATCTGATAGTGTTTCATCTCTGCTTGGACACTTACCGGTAAGTTCTGACAGAGCAATGTGTTGAAGAATGATTTCCCTGCCTAACGCAGCCCCATCACTGCAGGGCTGGGGATTGCTTTTGTCCAACCAAAGAGGCAACGGACTGTGGGTGGGGGATAAATCAACAAACTCTTAGGGAGTTTCTCAGGCACCTGTGAATGACAGATTCTCTCTCAGGATCTGCGAGTTAGCTAAGAAAAAACCTATGCAAAATCACTGTACTCGTAGCTCACCACTTGGCTGCACATCTGAAGGAGGGTCTGGGTGGTGTTTGTCCCACCAGGTATATGGAAAATCTCGTGCTTGTGAGATCTGTGCATACTGGAGCTCTTCTCAGATAGTTTAAAGATTATTTCAGGACTGAATCTATGCTTTTCTAATGACTTTGGGTTTTTCTACTTTGAGCCCATGGTCTCTAGTAACAAGTATGAGGCCTTGGAGTTTTCTGGGAGAATTTCTAGAGATCAGTTAGCTGTTGGGTGCAGAAATTTCTGCTGGCCCCTGAAAAGCATTTTTTTATTTTTATCTGCTGCCAAGCATGAGACACCAATGGTGCTAAATGAGGGCAAACGAGCACACAGCTAACCTGGCTGAATGTCCTGGTGTGCAAAGACACAAACACGTGCTGACATTTTGGTAGAACCCCTTTAGTCAGGATGTGTGGGTTTATCAGCTCTGGAACACTTGCAGGTCAAGTTGGTTATGCCAGATGTTCAGCCTAGAAGACAAATGGAGGATGTGAGGAGGAGCTCTCCCACTCCTGTCTCGTGCTTCCAAAGGAAAATGTCTCAAATTTTCATTTTTATATGATATTTCTCATCATGTTGTATTCCTGTAGTACCAGGGTTTCTTCTCCAGCCTGCATCTGGCTGAACTGAAGGGCAACCAATGGGACCTATTCAACCTTTTCCAAAAAGATAGCAACCCCGGGGTAAAATAACCTAAGGGTTATATTCTGCCTTAGATCCATCCGCAGATTGACTAGGCTTCCTGGTCTTTATGCATCCGCACCAGACCAGCAGCCTCTGTGCTCTGCTGTGGGGTGAACAGGCGTGTGGTTGTGTCAGGTTGTACTGCTGAACATGACAAAGCATTCTTTTGTATCAGTCAGATTTGGTGGACCAAAATATATTAAACTTTCTGCCTGAGCGGGAGCAGAGCGAGGTGTACAAGCTCCTTTCTCCACGTGTGCTCATGACAGATCCTGTTGCAGCTGATTTTCTAAACGGTAAGCTCTGCTCTTCTCTGTCGGTCAGGGAGATTTGCCAGAGGCAAACAGCTCCCAGGGGAGCCTGCGCAGGGCTCTCCGGCTATTTAATTCTCCTCCCTGCCAATTCTGTTTTGCCACGGTTAATATTTCTGGGTTTTAATGCAGCACATCACCTAATGTTCCTACATGCTCCCGGTACTCGGTCTTTTATTTGGACAGGCTTTGGTTTACTGTCTGCTTTGCATCGTGGGAAATTAATTTGCCCTCATTAGATATTTTTCCCAGGGCAGGATGCTGGACGGAGCCTGTGAAAGGAGAGTGAGGGGCTTGGGGGAAGGAAAAGGGTAGGAGAAATCCCCAAGAATTTTGCCAGAGTCTTTGTTCCTTAGGAAGCTTGCATGTCTCAGGACACCTGAGAAACCCTACAAGTAATTTAAGAAACAGCCTTCCTATCTGAACAGTCCATCCAGATCTCTGCTGCTGTCTCACCCCCACAATATCCCTTTCCTCCAGAAAACGTCCCCAGCACCAGAGCGGGCAGCAGTGTCTTCCCAACATCCATGTTGCACTAAGCCAGTGTTGGGAGCCCCTTTTCCTGGTGGGTTTGCTGTGGCCAGGCGGTTCTTGCCTCCCTCTCTGCTGCCCTGTAAGCATCACTGGGAGCTGGGCAGCCCTCGTGCTGGTGCTCTGCTCTGGGGTTGGTTTCCCTCCAGCTGAAGACCACGTGGTCTGATCCATGGAGTTCAGACCTTGAGCAGAAAACCCAGTAAGAGCTTGGCACGGTGCCCTGCACTGTTAATGGAAAGGCTTAGGGTGACTTCAGCGCCCTTTGGATCTGGGTCCTGCTGAGCGATGCCACAGCAGAGTACTGCAATGTCACTTGACAGCTTTGCATGAAATCTTGCATGCACAGAGTCAGGGGAAAATACCGTTGACCAATATTCCCAGGGCTTCACGCCCAACGTAGCAGGGTGGCTGTAAAGCTGTGGGAAAAGGGTGAGAATATATTTCCTTCAGCAGAACCAGCTGATCATTGGTATATTTACTTACGGGTATCAAGAGCATCCCAGCAGAGTGTGCTCAAGACTGATATAAACACCTAGATGGATTTGATATATGAAGTGTGCGCAAGTGCAGACTTCTAGTAATGTTTTGTATGTCTCCCTCTCTTTCTCTCATTTCAGTGGAAAAACAAATAGAGTTTTGCTGCCATTTAGCAAGAGGCAGCTTAGATCCAAATGAACCCCTGATGTATGAATATGTGAAATTTGTAGTGGATTTTAAATACTTTACTCATGGTAAGTTACTGCTGCAGTCTACCTTTACCTTTCTGTCTCTCTTCTTTAGATTATGTGTTAATCTATAGCCTCCTAAAGGCCTTCTTTCAGCTGAAAGTGCCCCATAATTGGCAGGGATGGAATGAGCTGTGGGTATGTTGGAGACATCTGTCACCTAAAAGTGGTGGGGAGGCTGTTGGTCACAAGAGTGCACTCTTCTGCATGCTGTGCTTAAAGAAGTGATACCAGACTGATCCCACCTCTATTTGACCCACTGCCAATTGTAAAGCAACCTACTTATTCAAATAACCAGTAAAGTACGCTGTTCTGTTTCCCTTGTGTCAATCAAATGACACTTCTTAAGAATTAAATAGTTTGAGAAACCTGTAAAATCTTGGCTCTTGCAAATGTTTAGCTGGAGAAGGGCTGACAAGGAGACTGTAGCTGCACAATGAGAGGTGCTCAGAGCTGTCTTAGGAGGCTTCTCTGTAAGCCAGGGGTAGGTGGTTACAACTGCCTAACTCCGAGCCTAGAGGGTTATGCTTTAAATAACATCAGCGTGTATCAGTGTGGCATCACCTTGTGGGTAGGAGGAGTTTGTTTGGGTTTTGTCAGTCATTGTACCTGTCTTAACAGGAAAAGAAAGCTCTCCTTCCTCTTCTTCTTAAATAAATTGTCTGGTTGTGTCTAGTGCCTACACCCTCCTGTAATGGCTTTGAGTCAGCTATTGCACGAGCTTTCAGGTCAGCCACGGAGGAGCAGATTTGCCTCGTAGCAACTGTTCGTCTTGTCACACCGCAGTTCTTAAAGGTGAGAGCTCTGCGACTGCATCTTCCCTTTCGTGCAGGGATCGGCCGGGGCTCAGCGGCAGAGCTGCTGCTGGATCCACGAGCCGGGTGCTCGGCTGTTGCGAGGGGAGCCACGTCGCAGCAGCCTCGCAAAGAGTATGTTCAGCAGCGCAGGTTGTTGGTGCAGGGAGTTGGTAGAGGAGAGAGGACACTGCTGTGTTTGGGAGTGGGAGACAACATAAGTATGTATTTTGGAATGATGAGATACAACATGGGAGCTGCTTTTGAAAAGAGGTGGTCGTGTGATGGGGTGTCTTTTGAGAAGAGGTGGTCATGTGAAGGGGTATCTCAGAGCAGTCAGCCCAGGAAGCACCAGTACAAGGTCACCAGCAAAACCACTTGGAAAGCTGCAGCCTTTAAAGAAATACATCCCACGGCTCCTCTGTGTAAGAAGGCCACCTGCTTCTTGAAACACCGTGAACACCGGGTTTCCTGGGCTCTTTCTGCTGGGCTGTAAGTGTCCTGGCAGGGATAACAACCGTAGGTGCTTCTTGCTTAAGAGAAGCTGGGGAATTTTGCCTACATCCTGCAAGATGAGGACCTTGGATGATTTAGCCTAGCTCTGAAATTCAGCCCAGGGTAAATTATTCAGGCCCTTTTCATCAGTTTATCCATCTATAAAGCAAGGCTTATACATTCCTTACAGGAAAATGAATCAAGTGCTTTAAGAGCCCTGTATGTTGCTAGGGTTTGTTATTCCAAGATGCATTTTTGGTGTTGACAGAGGGCTCCTTTTGGCATTTTGTAGAATTATATGTCTGAATGTGCCAACTGTTTTGCAGGAGCTCTGCAATGTTGAAGAGCCATGTGAAGAATTTACATCGAGGCATAGTTTGGAATGGAAGTTTTTATTCTTGGACCACAGGTAAGAGATTTGGTTTTAGTCACTGAAGAATAAACAAACTGTAGTTTGAAAGTAGAAAACTTTGTGTAGCTGTTGCCTGAGATCGCAAGTAGAATAGCTCTAATTAAATGCAACAGAATAGATAATAGTTCTCTGAACTTACTCATTAGGCATCCTTAAATGCTTTGCTATCTCTCACATTTTAGGCAGGTAAGAAACAATGTAAAAAAGTGGGAAAATATCTACAAAAATGTCTTAACTTCACCAAGACATTAAGTCCTTAAAACTGAGCGGTGTGGGTGCTGTTCCCTGTATTGGTTTAGCTCCTCTGTTTTCCACCTACAACTTTCAGGTATCCTTCTAAATCTTCTGCTGTGTCCATAAACTTTTGATTTTCACTTTGAGAAATGATGGAATTTATATAAATAAAAGAAAAAGCAGTGGACTAGGTGATTTAATTGCAGATTTGTTTTTGGCAATGCCGTATGGTGGGCTAGGATTCAGCTTGATGAATGAAACAGACTGGAACCACTTTATTAAGCTGATTAGTATGGGATTCATTTTCTTCAGAAGAAGCTGGAGGTTTTTGTTCACTCTTTTACTTCTCTGTATTTGATGTGTGTGCGTAAGCACATTGCAAAATCTTACTCTCTCCATTATCCCTCCCTTTGCAAGCTGAGCAAAGGTAATCATTACTAGAAGACTAGTAAATAAGGCTATAGGGAAAAAAATATTTGGGAGGAAAAAAAGCCTTAATATTGTCGGCACATTTAGAGCAAGGAAGAGAGAAAGCAAATATAAATGAATAATAATTTGCATTTATACAGTAAACAAGATCCGTACCTCGTGTATCATACCTTGAAGCGTGGATGAACCGACCCTGCGACAGCCCCACGGTTAATGCCATGTGCTTTGGGACAGTCACCTTATTATTCATGTTGTCAAGATCTTGCTGGAGTGGCTTTGTTAGACTTTAATTGGCCTGTCCAATAATCCACATTTTCAGAATCAGGTGGTTAATGTTAAGATTCCTAAAAGAGCACTAAGCCCCGTCTTTCCCTGTCTGACAAAGTGAGCTGGTTTTCCAAAGGGCTGCGTCCCAGCAGCTCCTGGAAATGAGGCGAGCAGGAGCTGCTTTGAAACCTAGCAAAGAGTCTTTTGATGAATCTGGGTTATGACTCAGAGAGGAAACTCTGTGCGCCGGGTGCTTGGAGCCACTCCGGTCCCAACGATACCCCCAGTGAGGAAACCATTGTTACCGAGAGAAAATAAAGCTGGTGCAGGTGCTGAGGCAGAGTTTGTGACAGTCCCGAGTGCGAGCGGTGAGCCCGGACCCAAGAATGAGCAGGGGATCGTGTGGGACATCTCATTTAATCACCAATTCCAGCCTCTCTCTGGTACAGTCCGCAGGACGCTGTGAGGTGTTGTTGGGTAGTTTGCTGTTGCTTGCTGATTTGCCTCAGCTCGCACTGCCTGATGCGGAGTTGAGCCATCAGCAGGCGGACAGGGTACCCCGCACGACTTGGAATCAGCACCTTTGCTATCATGACAACAACATAAATTGGAGTAAAGATCGATAATGCAGAAAGCACTCCATGGGTCTGGATAAACATTAGCAAACTAGGAAAAAATCTGTATTCTGCGTCTACACGTAAATATGTGTAGAGAAAGAAAACCTGTCAACTTTGATAATGATCTAGTTCTCTTCTGCACTATGGTCCTGTCCTTATTTTACCTTAATTTATTAAAGTACGGCACTCAAAAGGCTCTCTGAAGACTGTGCATGTCCATTTGCACCGCAAGTTGCAGGCTACAAGGCTGGAACTTAAGCTAACAAGCGACTTTTAAATTGTTCCACAAGCAAGGCAGCTCCTGGTCAAATGACAGATGAGGAGCTTTTTGTGGTTGCTTTCTCATTTAAAGAATTCTGGCAAAAGTCGGGAGAGCATAATACTTTCCTGATCAGCTTGAATGTTTATCAGATATGCATCTGAAAGACATTACTGTCTTGAATATAAGCGTGTCATTAAAGATAGGAGAGACACTGGTGCGTTCTGCCAAAGAGACAGCAAGGAAGGACACTTTAATAAATACACATATTATCATCATTAACAGAAATCTGGGTCACAGGAGGAAAAGGAACGCGGTGCTTTATGAGAAGTTATTTGGATAAATAAAGCTGTATTGTGGTGGAGACCACCGTGTTTCAAGAGATTTGCCATTAGAGAGTGTGGAGGAGCGGCTCTTCCAGCCCACCCCTTGTGCTGGGACTCGGCAGCTCCTGCTGAGACCTTGATCCTCCTGGGACTGCTGTTGGTCAGATCCCCGGCTGTGCTGCCTTTCGCCCTGGTTCCCATTTGGTGCCAAACTGCTGGTGGATGTGGGGAAGAGAGAGGTTATAGACCTGTCTGGGCTCTCGTTAGTTGAATAATCTATGCCAACCATGTCCCTGAAGACTGCAAATGTGGAGCTGAGTCACTCAGGGCAGAACTCACCACATTAATCTCCAGAAGACTCAGTATTGATCCATCCAACCCCAAATGCTTAAATAGTTTTTTTGCTCGTAATCTTGGCCACTTTGTGGCATTCATCCTCCTTAAGAGGGTAACTCAACGCACCAAGAGAAAGGCAGCAGGAGAGGCACGTTTGATAGGCAGTGACACTTTCAGACTGCCCTGGTTTTGAAACGTTAACCATTTCACTAACACACCGCCACCTTATTCCTGAGGAACGTGCTCAGCTTGGCAGGTGAGCCTCACGCCGTCAGCACATCCAGCAGCCCCAACAAATACGTGGAGCCAAATTACTCCAAGTCCTGCCTCACTTGGTAGGTGCGGTGCTTGAATTGGTGCAGGCAGGAGCGTGCCTGAGTGCTAGGGGACAGAAGGTGGCATGCTGATATAGGGAGTAGAGGCAAAAACAGTGGTTTCCTCCTCACATTTCAGTGTTGTTAGGACACTGCTTAAAAAAAAACCTCATGTTTTGCCTAGAAAATGGAAATTCTAGAATTGACAGCAGGATAGTCAGGTAAGTCATTGCAATGCAGGTCTCTAAATACTTCCTCGATTCTTTCTCTACCTGCCACAGAAATAACAGTCCATAAAATCAGCCCCGTGCCTATTCTTATCTTTACTACCAGCACAGAAACATTTTTTTCTGTTTATAATTTCCCAAGCTTTTCCATGGGAACAATTACTTTTTTCTTTTACCCAAGCTGGTCCTGACACACATTGCAGCTTCCCACTTACTCTTCTACAGTTACTACCCAGATGACATTTATATCCAACCTACTGGATAATTTTACTCAAGCTCCGAGTTATTATGCAGATGAAGAGCCATAGCGTTTCTCAAGCTGCGTGTCTCACAAGCGTGCTTAATGAATTGAGTCACTTGCATACGTACATACTTTTCTCTACACCCACATAATGAATAGGCTATGAAACAGTAAACACACACCTTTTCATTTGCTCAATTTTTACCTCTCCCTCACTGTTTTTTTTGCTTGTATATGAAAATACGTCATTGTGTATATGAAAATCTGCTCCTAATTTCTCTGCCAAGTGAACATAGAAGATGGTTTTGGTCACTAGTATCGCAGTACATCTGCCAGGATGTCAGTGTCAGGTTTTGTGCTCACTCCCTGCCCTTTGCTTCCCTTCTAGGGCTCCACCTATTATAGGATATTTACCCTTTGAGGTTCTGGGAACGTCAGGGTATGATTACTACCACGCGGATGACCTGGAGCTTCTTGCTAGGTGCCATGAACACTGTAAGTTCCTCTCCCTCTGCAGCATGCCTGTCTTTGATCTCGTTTGTCACTCGTGCAAAACCTTTTGCTGTTGTCGCAAAAGGCGTCTTTCTCTGAGGCACGAGGGAATTCCCTCTTCCCATGACAGGCTGTCACAGCTGACGCTTACCTGGGAGGCTGAATCCCTGCAGAATTCACTCAGATTGGGAACTCTTTGTGCAGGTTTCCTGAATTGGCAGAATTGAGCACAGATTGTCTGAGAGTGAAATGAGATGAACAGATGGGGAGTCAGAACTTCACAGCCTCTGCCCTCAGTTTGTGAGGGCAGCCCCAAACCCTGGGAGTTTTGTTGGTTGTCGCAGTTCATGGGGTCTCGCTGTTCCCTTGGGCTCTGGAGTCAGCTGGGAAGCTCAGCTCACCAAAATGCCCTCTGAAAGCAGCATTGGCATCACCTGCCTGTGCAATTAGATGTCGTGAACCTCACTTGCTGTTAGTAAAATGCTTCTGGAGGATCAGACTCTTCTCTAAACACAGAAGTGTCAAACACGGATTCCCTGAAAATGAAGATGGCTCATTTTCAGTCGACCTGGAAGTATAGCAAAGAAGTCCTGTTCAGGCTGATGTGTGAACACCAGAGAATGTCCATGAAGTTCATCTTCGTGCAAGGTGAAATAAGAAGGAGCCCTTAGCCCCAGTACTGTGGCAGTGCAGCCCGCTGCTGAAGCACCACAGCCTGCTGAAGGCTGGAGCTGGTCTGAAGAAGGGCAAAAGGTGGCAGCAGACGTGGTCTACTATTAATCAGTGTGCTTTTCCTACCAGACGAGCATGGGAGATGTTTTACCCCAAGACTGTATTTTTCCATTTTATTACATGCACTTCAGACTGAGATACTGAGCCAGAATTAGGTCTGTCCTCCAGCTGGTTTGCATTGCCAAGCACTGTAATGGAAAGTAACTATGCACTTTGTAAAATGTATCTAGGTAATCAAGTATTTTGCCAAGAAATATTACTTAGAGGTTTCCTGTTGGGCAAACTCTCTATCTGTTTGTCTCTCTGATATCTTCATTTGAAAGGAGAGTGTTTTGTCAAAAGGCAACAAGGACACCCCAGAGTGGAAAAAGTGGGATGCTGTAATTGCTGTAATTGAGATGCAGAGCAGCGCGATGCAGGGACACCAAGAAACTCCACAGGACCCCAGTACACTGGAGCTAGACAAGCTGCTGCTTCTCTGAGTTGCAAACCACCCCCATCTCTACCACTTCCATGTACAAGATGCTAAAGCACCTAGTAGAGAGTGGAGAAAATTACTTCTTCTCTGAATGTCAAGTTCCCCCACTCCGCTTTCCTGACGGCTTTTCTGCCCTGCCAAGGCAAAGCGCTGGTACAAAACAGGCGGCGGCGAAGCGGGTTGCGTGGCTGAGCACCCAAACGGAGCGGTGAAAGGGGCTAGACGCAAGCTGGGTCAAGTGCAGCAAGCGTGTAGATGGGAATATTAAAGGAGTGTTTTAAATGCTCTCAAGTACAGTACTTTTTAGTGCTGTTTGCTTAAAAGACCATTCAGACAGAAGTGAGGTACTTAACCAGACGATGGCCTTTTGGTAATGTGTGTGTGCACTTTGACGCACGTATTGAGAGTGGGGTCAGACCATTCAGCAGAGAATCTATTTCATGATTTATGTTCTACATCTCTACGAGCCACATTTCCCCCTTACATATTGAAAGAGTATTTGCACAGTGCACCTGAAGGAAAGGATCTCTTAGTCTTACTGTGCAGAGGGACAAAGTAAGGCGCTGGCGAAGTGACTTGTAGAAGTTGCTTCAGGAAATCTCTGCCAGGACTGGGAGCTGAGTGATCCCCAGCACGGCGTGTTAGCCAGAAGACCTTTGCCTAGTGCTTCATCTAAAGCCCGTCACTGTTAAAGGGATCGCTAAAGAAGTTAGTCCTGCCAGTTAACAAAGTAGAGGTGTGCAGGTGAGTAAAAATACTTGGGTTAGAGTGGCTTGCTAAGTTCCCGTTCTTCAGGTTGACCGCTCTGGGCAGGCATCTTGCCTGCTGCGAAGTGAAATGGGTTTGCTTAAACCACATTTGTATTTTACTTGGCATTAATTATGGGTATTTTAAGTGAGCATCTTTCATTTTGTACTCCCAGTAGTCTGGGAACAATTAATGTGTTATTTAATGTAGTTCCCCTCATTATGTTCCAGTTATATTACACCACTTGAGATTTTTCTGGTCATACCCTGATAACATGTACCACGTCTGGTGTATTTAGGTCATCTCTCGGAAGAAAACTCTCAGTTAAACTGCTAAAACTCCACTATCTTACTGTTTTGTGCCATTACTAGGATCCTGACTTCAAGCCCCCAGTCAGGGAAACGCATTCTCATGTACTTGTGAAAGGCCAATGCTTTCTTTAATTAATGCTATTTAGGCTTATTTCAGAGGAGCCCATGAATAAGTTATAAGAATATAGCTAGTTATATAGTTATGCCAATTATTATTTATAAGAACAATCTCAAAATAGCAAAGTGCACTCTTGGAAATCAGTAGCAGAAGAGAACCCAGGTAAAAGCTCAGTATGTGGCTGTGTATCATCTGTCGTGTTTTCAAAGCCGCAAGAGCCACTCTAGTGCAGCAGCAGACGGCAAGAGGGGTATGGGACCGAGTGGTTTTTCTAGTCGCCTTTGCACCGTGAAATTTCTGTTTGCTATAAATTACTTTCTTTTTTTGTTGAACAGTGATGCAGTTTGGAAAAGGAAAGTCCTGTTACTATCGGTTCCTGACCAAAGGCCAGCAGTGGATATGGCTGCAGACACACTACTACATCACCTACCACCAGTGGAATTCCAAACCCGAGTTTATCGTTTGCACTCACCTGGTAGTTAGGTAGGAGCGAGCACCGAACACCTCACAATGTATGTCTGCTGTGCTCAGCCATTATCTTTTTTCTAGTCCTGTTTTGAGTTAGCCAAAGATTTGCTGTGCATATTGACACACCAAGATGGTATGTAATTCTATAAAACTATTATGACAGGGAACATGGGGAAAAGCATAATGTGTTTTCATTACTCTTTTTTTTTTTTATTTGGCAACCGGGCCAAAAGCCTGGCAGGCACCGCTGGCCAAGTCTGTCCGTGTGTTACATTCCCCTTTTCTCCCTAGCAATAACATGGCCATAGGAAGAATTAAAGCTGTTAAGAATGAGACGGCTTGATGGGCGTGGATGGAATCATACATCTCCTGCAAAACCTTTTGATCAGAGCTTTAAATATTTATGATTTGAAGTGAGCTGCTGTCCTGCTAGCCTCATTCCTCCCCTGAAATTCAGCCCAGGATCCCCCTCTAGTGGGAAGCTGCTTGTGCTGGTTTGCAGAGCCGTGCTGGAAGGCGTGTGGGATGCTCTGCTCTGCGCTACGCGCCTTCTGGAGGGGAAGTGGCTTGGTTCCCACTGTCATCTCAGAAAAGACCGTGTTAAGACTGAGAATATATTTACTGAAGGGCTTGAAAAAACAGCGACACACTGGTTTGCTCTGTTAGCTTGAGTAAGCAGATTGCTCACTGCATCTTTCTTTACTGTCAGCAATCAATTTGTGAGTTTTTTTCTGGTCTCCTTTTTACTTGTCAAACATCTGGAAGAACAAACACTGGCAAACTGGGATATTCTGAAACACAGACTGAGAACACCTTACACCACTGAACGGGTGTAAATGCGTGCTGGTGTAAACTAAATGTCAAGTGTTATCATAAGCAAATGTTAGCCAGCAAGATTGCTTGTGAGTTGTGTTGTTTCTACCATCCTTCAGGGAATTTGGCTTCACTTTAAGCTCTGAATTTACTGTGCATGAACTTGTTTCTTCTTTCTGCATCCAGTGCCTCTTAAACCTAGTGATATAGTCCTAAAGAGATTTTGAAATTCAGTTCTGACTCATATAATTAGAGTTTAGAATATAATAATGAGACACGCAAGTTAAAATGTGATTTCAGGAAAATTCGTTGCCTACAATGATACGAGTGAGTTCAGTTCAGCAGCTCCTCCTGCCTCCCACAAAGGTTATGGCCCATTAATATTTCAGCACCCTGAATTCTGGCACCTTTCCGTGCCCACAGTTCACAAGCACTCACAGAGTCATTAAAACGCCCTCTCCAGTTTATCCCAATGGTGAATCATGTGACATTGTTTTCTGTAAGTATTTTATTAAGAGAAAAAAAAAAGTAAGGAAAGCAAATACACACTTTTAGAGGCACATTCCAGGGGATTCCTGCAGCTCGCTTTGCGCCCGGGCAGCTGTGGGTTTGTACTCAGAGCTTCCACCGGCGTGAGGGACGTTAACTCTGATGTGGCACGCTGCACAGCGCTGTGGGCACCCTCAGAGAGAGGGGGCCTGACCTCCCCGTGCGCAAGGCGCCGGCTAAGGTCTCACATACCACAGGCAAGAAATGGGTTCTTGATCATCAGCAGCTTAGAAAATGGACATACATTTGCTATTTGGCTGTTTACCTGCACAGAAGCTGTAGTATCATTTTTCTGCCTGATTATGGAAAATGGGAATTTCCTTTATTAGGAAAATTGTACTGAGGACAAAGACACCCATTTTGTTGTTGATAACCAAGTGCACTTTGCTTTTAGGTTAGTTGTGCTTGAAGGCACCCAGGGCCAAAATTTGCAGAGGAGTGTCTACGTTTGTGCTTAGAATGATTAGTGCAATTATCATATAGGCTCTGCAGTCCTGGCGCAGTGGGGCTGGGACACTGCCCTGTTGTTTCTGTCTGCAGATATTCAGCATGTGCAGTTATTCACAGATTGCAAGGCTGCCTGATGATGTTCCTCTAAGCACCCTGAGCATGAGAGAGAGTGTGTGTGTGCTGTGCAAAGCTGGTGACTCAACACGAAAACTCGCACAGGGACAATATCCAGGCTGAAAATCTGGATTTTAAATTTTTATTTGGTTTTTAGTTACGCGGAAGTTCGAGCTGAAAGAAGGCGAGATCTTGGCCTTGAAGAGTCGTCGATTGAACTGGCATCCTCTTCTCTAAAGGTACCATGCCCCTTCACAGTTGAGTGACTGGGTGTAAACCAAACTGAGTAATTGCTTACCAATCTTAGGAAAATATCTGTTCTTTCTTCTCCTTCTCCTTTACTCCCATCGCCTTCCAAGCCTTCAGCTGTGTTGTGACTCAGGCAGAGCCAGAGGAGTTTTCCACTGCATGGCTCTAAACTGCTGGCCTTCGTTCAGGCATATAACTGCAAACTCAGTAGTTGCATTGCTGCTGTTCTGCTGTTCATTATCTTTCTGAGGCTGTTACTCAAACGCTAGGTTAAACCACCTCAGCTGAGAAGCAGAAGAGTAGAGCTGGAGGGTAGATGGCTGTACCTGTCACCGTCAGTAAGGCGCGGAGGATCTGGGCAGTACTGCAGGGTACCCGTTTTGTGAGTGCCAGCTCGTCACTGCTACTCAGACAGGGGTTGGAAGGGAAGGGGAAACGCTTATTCTTATTCCAGATATCAGCGCTGCTTACACCATTGGGCAGGGTCGCATCAAGAGTAGGATTGTGACCAGAGCAATAATTTCTATGGCTTGAATCAGTCTGGGATCCCAACACACCTGCCCAGTTAACAAGGTCATTTTAATTACTTAGAAGTTCTTTCTCTCAGTAGTTTACAAATAAGACCAGTAATCAAAGTCATTTCAAGTGGATTGTTGTGTAATTATCATTCCATGAGCCTCTTTGCTCTGCAGACATTATTTTATAGAAGCCATGTGTGCGATCTACAGGGGAAGCTGTCCCAGAGAGCTTTTGCACTTGAGCAAGGACCGTCTTGCAAACAGCTGCTTCTCTGTCACCACAGCACACTTCTGTGTCTTTTTCCCCTTTCCACCTGATAGGTGAGATGTTTTTCTGCAGATCTTAAGCTGCATCTGTTGATGTAAGGCAGCCGGAGGAGAGGCAGAGCGATCACTCCCATTGCTTGATCTTCCGGAGGGGAGTGGGAAGCTGGGGAGCTGCCTGGGAGGCGTGGGGACGATGGTGGCATGACCAGCGTGGTCACCCACGTCCTGCAGGTGACACGGTCTCCTGCTGCCCAACAGTTATGGGCTGTTTGCCATAAACCATCTGCCAGGTGGCATCTGTGGTTTTGGTGTGACAGCTCCAAAGCCATTAATATTGACTAGCTTAGGCTGCAGATGTGCTGCCGGGTTCCAGTCCAGAACAGCCTTCTGGGAGCGACTGCTACCTTGGGAGCAGCGAGTGGGGTTGCAGCTCTCAGCATCCCCCGCTGTCCCCCACAGCAGCTGTTTGCTGTAGGTTCTTCTAGGGCTGCAGCTGATGTCCCCGTGCCACTGCTCCATGTCCCTTCCCAGCCATCTCTCTCCATCTCTGCAATTAATAAAAAAAACCCTTGGGCCCGCCTTCATTCGTTACTTCTGCCACCACGCCCCAGTGTGCCACAACCACCAAACTGTGACATGCCTGAAGAAATCGGGCAGAAGGAAGCTAATTATAAAAGCGTATTTCCATTTGCACACAGCTCCGCAGGCAGGAGAGCAGGAGGGTGGCACGCCAAGCTCGGAGCACGGGCAGCAGTCCCCACGGTGTTTGCCCGATGCCTGGCCTCATGTTGCATCAGGAGAGGTTCAGATTGGACATTAGGAAAAATTTCTTTACTGAAAGAGTGGTCAGGCATTGGACCAGGCTGCCAGGGAGGTGGTGGAGTCCCCATCCCTGGAGGGGTTCAAAAAACATGTAGACGTGGCACTTCAGGACATGGTTTAGCAGGCATGGTGGTGTTGGGTTGATGGTTGGACTTGGTGGTCTTAGAGATATTTTCCAACCTTAATGATTCTATGATTCTATGGTGTGTGTGTCCCACTGCCGCTTGCTGCTGTCAGATGGGTGTCCTGAGACAGAAATGCGTGGCATCACCCCAAAGCCGGGGTGCCTGGGGTGTAATCCTGAGGATCGTGTCTGCACGGGGATACCTGAAGGCTTTAGGGTCAACGTTGAGGGGCTGAACAAATACGGCACGGGGTTTGGTGGTGTGGTGCTACCGTGCTGGCCCTCTATGCACCCAGTCTGTTATTCTTCTCTGCAAACAAGTGGTCGGGGTGGTAGAGGTCCCCTCCAGCGCTGTCCTCTCCTGCTGACGATCTCACCTCTTGTGCTTCACCCCACACAGAGCCACAGCACCTACCTGGACGTGGGGCACTGTGGCAGCAGCCAGGACCCCAGCTGGGAGGGACTGTCACTGTCATCCCACAGCTCCCGGCGCTCCTCGCACACCGCCCTCTCCGACTCCGCGTGTAGGTGCCAGCATGTCCGGGGACAGCCCAGCGCGGGGGCGAGGAGGGGCTGGAGGGCAGAGCAACCTCCAAAATTCCAGGGTTCGGCTGGGAGTGACTGAGCAAGGGCAGGAGAAGGGTGCTTGGCTCTGGGACCATCTTATGGTTACGCAGCCACGTGCTGCCTCCTCTCCCTTCGCCCGCTGCCCGGGTGTGAGCAGCTTTCCCAGTTGTGGTTGTTCGCTGTGGCTCGGGGGACGGGAGGTGGCTCGCTAAGCTGGAGCAGTTTGATTGAGCCCTGAACCTCACCGACCAAACTTTTATGACGAGGTGGTTTGGTCCCCGGTGCTCAGTCCCCGCAGAAGGAGTGCAGAAGGCTCTGCCTGCCTCACTGGCAGCTCCATGCCAGCC